ATGGTGAATGCAGTTTTGTGGGAAATATACAGAAGCAGACAGAAAGAATAGTTCCAAAGGAGAGATTAAAGGTCAAAGGACATGACACTGAGACAGACCAAAGAGAGACAGAAGACAGTAAAATTTCAGACAAATGCTTCAATAGAGTATGTAGAGATATGTTAAGAGTCACAGAAATTCTTTTTTTTTTTTTTTTTTTTTTTGTTTTTTTCTCCGGTACCGGGAACCGAACTCACGACCTTGCGCTTGCCAGGCAGGCGCTTTGCCACTGAGCTAAATCCCCAACCCCTTTTTTTTTTCTTTTTTTTTTTTTAAGAGTCACAGAAATTAATACAGTTCTTAATCTGCAAGGCTTAAAAATGCCACAGAGTTCTAAAAACTCTGCAGAATCATTTACCAAGCAATATTTTCTGATAACGAGTAAAACACTGATTTACAGCACAACTTTGGTCTTTCAAACAATTTATCATTTTTGAGTGTTCTTTTAGTATTTGTGATGCAGTGAGAAATATTCAAGTAAGTAAAAAAAAATGCATAGCAAAAGTTGGATCCTCATTAGGTCACCAACAATTAAATACTAAATAAAGACTAGGATGGATGTTTCTGCATCTAGGGCATGGAGATTCAAGAACACGTAGATTCAATCTCACATTGGGTTACTGATGTGAAATATCTGACATAAGACAGAAAGCAATTCTCTTTATATGGATATTTACACTTACACCCCAAATCAGTAGAACAATGAGATTAAAAATACTCTCTTATATTTTGGAAACAGAACATATAATGAGACAGTGTTGAGATATGACACTGCTAATAGAGGATGGGTCCATCGGTGTTTACCTGTCCTGCACAGAACGATGGTATTAACATGAAAGTGGAGGACATAGGACTGGTGTGGGCATCTTATAAAACAGTACTCACTTGTACTTTCTATATACACATGGTTACTTGTCATTTAACCATGTATCACGCAGAAAAGTGTTTCACTCATTTTTTGCGCCACGTCCTTAGACTTTTCTGGCTCAGTACTGTAAGAGTATATTTCCATTCTTTATTAATTACCTGTTATGAGACACCCTGACACAAAAATAAAATAATCTATTGGAATACTCATGTTCTTGATTTCAATAAGAAAATCATTATTCCCACTCAAGTTATCTGAGAAAGCAACTGTGTTGGGACTGGAACATGACAGCGGGTGAGACTGAGTGGGCAGAAACCCCTGAGGGAGGGACAATATATTAGAGAATTAAATCTTCTGAGTGGAGCAGACAGTCCACTGCAAGGACTGAAAACCCTATTTGGAGACACACATGAATTTTAGGCTAGATATAAGTCTGTGCGTTGGGACATTATTAAATTTCTCTAAGTTTGGCTGTTCATCAGGAAAACCAGGAAAAATCAGAAGGCACCACCAAAGTTTCTTATGATGACTCAAGAATCTAATGTGCAAACAATGTCTTGAATGTCAGAACCAGTTCTTTCTGTATGATTACAGTGTATTGAATGCAAACTTGGAAGTCTGACACTATTTTTAAAGGAATAATGCTGGCCTTCAGCACACATATTTAAAACTAGTCAACAGTATGTAGAGAGGCCACAGAAGCAAAACAGGTCCCATGAATTATGATTTTGACAGATCACGAGGTAAATGAGGACAGGACTACACTAACGAGTGAAGTGTTAGGTAAAAGTAGAAAATGATATGGACAAAATATATTATTTTAAAAATGTAAAATTCATTAATGGAGAGAGTATCCAAGCAGTTATGTGTAAGAGATATGTGAAGAGATTTGGCCATTTAGGAACCCACTTCCAATTTTGGAGAAGAATTGGGAAGATTGGAAACAAATTGTTTTTGTGAATATGACTCTGGACTGATTGTGAGGCTGAAATTTCCCTCACACTGCACTACACAGATTCTATGCATTTCCTATGAGAACCTCTTGAACTGTCTCTTAACTATTCTTTTTTTATCCTATATGCAATTTGTTTGTATGGCTCTGGGTCAGTAAATTCTCAAGAAACTGAGGGTTTTATATTTATGGTAGATAGCTTTAACCCTACTCTCAAGGCTTCCCTAGAAAATGTCTTTTCTTCAGGGATGTCACATATAGATGATTCTTGGTCAAAAACTGCTCTATTCCAAAGACTTGGTCTATCCCAAAAACCTACCTTCCCTATGTATTGATAAGTTGCTCTTTATGTGGCTCAGCACCCAATCTTTTGGCACTGTTCTACGGTGATGGTGATGATGCCACACAGTCACAGTGTTGTCATACAATGAAGAATAACTGTTTATCATAGGTATGGTATCCTGGCTAAAGTGGTACTGTTAGCAATAATGGTAGTCTTAAGCACAGCATGGCTGCTGACAAATGGTGGTAACTATTAACCTGATACATTTAACCATAACAGCAAGCTCTATAGTTATAAAACAAAATCCAACATATATCAGGAACTTGTATGTGATGGTTTTCCCCTAAGTGGAGTGATTTTATACTATTGCATGAGAGGGGTACTTTAAAATGGACAGAAGACAAGATAGAGAGATGATCAAGGTCAACTATTGTAGGAGCAAGGCTAGAGGGAAAGGATGATCACCAAAGTTTTGGGAAACTGGAGGATATAGGAGAGATAGAATGAAACAGTAAGCAAAGGGGAATTGAAGTGAAGCACTAATTGAAAGTATAATGTATAATCACATGACAGTATCACCAAATCAAGCAAGATAGTTGAGGAAAGAGACCAAGAAGATAAGTAGAAGAAAACAAAAAGAAAGGTAAGAAATCTAAATTGTGAAAGAGAAAAAACAGGGAGAAAAAAACAAAAAGAACCTCAAAAAGCAAAACATGCCAAAGAAACTGAAACAAAATGGAAAAAGGAAAAACAATCAGAGAGAAAAAGAAAATAAGTAAAATTTCCCTATGTGTCTACATTTCTGTGGTAGGTCCAGATCAGATCCCAGAAATGTGTTGTGTACACCGTGGGGTTTGTGCTAGTTATGGCGTTGATCTTGGTCACTGGATGTGGGGGGATGACCAAAATAAACCTACAATAAGGCATATAATGATCCAGATTCCAGAAACTAGGTAGAAAATGAATATTACATAAGGCTAGAGAAAAGAAACAAATTACCTATAAAATAAACTCCATCAGAATCACAGCAGACTTCTCAACGCATACCTGCAGTCAAGGAGAACTTAGAGTGAAGTATTTCAAGCCATAAAAGAAAACTATCTCCAACCCAGATTGATGTAACCTGCAAAATTATCTCTTAAAATCTATAGAGAAATAAGATACTTCCATGACAGAACAACTGAAGAAATCATGACCACAAAACTAGTTTTTCAGAATGCACTGAAGAAAGAAAAAACAAAGACCACAAGCACGGGCTGGGGATTTAGCTCAGCGGCAAAGCACCTGCCTGGCAAGCGCAACGTCGTGAGTTCGGTTCCTGGTACCGGAGAAAAACCAAAAAAAAAAAAAAAAAGACCACAAGCACAAGAACATCAATAAAAATAAGATACCAGGCAGGGCAAGGAAATAAACAGAGGGGAAAGACAGGGAGCCAACAGGAGGAAAATAACATCAAAAGGATGGACCAATACTTACCAGTTATAATCATCCAAGTAAATGTTTTCAATTCAACAATCAAAAGAAACACACTGGCACAATGGGTCAAAAAGTAAGATGTAACAATGTGCTGCATTCAACAACCACATTTAGCTCAAAAAGAAATTCATAGACTGAAAGTCAAAGGATGAAAAAAAAAATACTCCTTGTCACAGGAACACTGAAAAAAGCATGGATAGCTATTCTATTTGTAGAATAGCTACAATGGAAACTTTAAGCCAAGACTCATCAAAACAGACAAAGAAGGTCACTACATAACTTGGTGAGGAAAACTCACAGAAGAGATAAATATCATAAATATATATGCACCAAATAACAGTGCACCCAACTACATAAAACAAGTATTAACACATGCAAGATATCAAATAAGAATGAAGACAATTGTAATGGGGGACCTTTTACCCACTCTCACAAATACCTGGATCAACTAGATAAAAAAATTAACAAAGAAATATCAGAATTAAACCAACCCTGGGAACAAATGGACTTAGTAGAATTCTAGTGTTCTACCCCACAACAATAGAATACACATTCTTTTCAGCTACACATGGGGCAGTGTCCAAAATAGACCACAAAGTAGCATATAAATAAATACAAGCTATGGCCTCATGATCAGCTACAGAAATGAGGACTGTAACAGTTCTCTTCTGACATCTTTCTAATGTATTATGTTGACTGACCTAGTATTGGTTAAGTCTTATTAATCCTGTTATACTGTTCTAGTTATGAAATGTTAGGTGTAAGCACCACCCAAAGAAAACTTCCCTTCTATTCTTGGTAGGAGAATTGCTGCATTTCCATTTGTATGAAAGATAGCTATAACAAGTATATTTATGAACTCATGTTTGTATCTTGAGACTATGTTTTAAAGAAATGTGTATTTGTGAAATTATCCGGGGGCTAGATAGAGACAGTTAACTGACTGTCAAGCTGAGTACTACATGGCCAACTAAATATGCCCAATAAATTATGGATACGGAAAACCAAATCTAAAAAGGATTACTGCCAGATGTTATAAAAAAGAATCCAAAAAGGAAGGGTTACATGTGTTCCTGTGGAGGAGCTCCAGTATTTACTGTCACATTAGAAACCATGTCCTGGTTTGCAGCACAGACTCCTCAATCTCTAGCTCAGACCATTCAGTCTTCTGGCACTTTGTCCTGCTGACATAGACTTGCACAGGACACTACAGTGGGCTCCATGCCTTGAACTTGACTTTTTGGATATCCAGTGCACAGACAGATCTTTTACACCCTTCCACATCTGAGTGTTTGAGAAGACTTGTTAGCCAATCTTGTAAGTTCTTGTATATTTGTATAACTCACATTAAAACTATTTATAAAGTATGCACTGATACAATATTATAATTCATGATATTATTTATTAGACAAGGCATGGTCTATCTGATGTGTCACATTCAAAAACTCACAGCAGTATGATTTATATTTTTGTGTAAACTTTTGTAAAACCACCACCAAAAGTCATAACAATATAAGAAAAGTAAAATGTTAATGGTGAGAACACAAAATTTTAGGTAAATCATATTACACACTTCAATATGAAAGCAAAATAGGTGAAGTTATTTGCTTTACATGACATAACTATATTGAGATATATGCAGGTATCAAGTAAGGACATAAAAAACACAATATTTGCTGATCTATAATTTGTGTGTAAAGGAATTTTAAAAAAAAAAAAACACGCTCCATGTCTCTAAATATGCACACATTTAATATACATCAAATTCAAAATTATCTTTTTGTAGACAGAATATGAAATATATATACCAAGAAAATTACAAAGCTAGTAAGAAATCCCAATTAAAAAACTATTAATAAAATTTATTTTTAGCAGCCTATACCTCCTTATAGTAAAAACAAAACAATCAAAACTGTATAAATACTAACCCTACTTGGAAATGAAAAGTACACTAGAAGTGTATTTTCTGGAAAACCTATATTCATATGTTTTTCATTTACATGTGCACAGGTTTCCATCATGTGATGTATTTCCACAAGTTTGGAAAATAGGCTTGCATATACAGGGTCACTCTCCAGTGTGCCATTTTTCATTGAGTTGATAAAAAATGTGTTCAATGAATGCTTCTCTCACATTGTTCATACACCTAGGGTTCTTCTCCAGTATGAGAATTATATATATATATATATATATATATATATATATAAGCAAATCTTTTTCCACAAGGCTCACATGCATATGGTTTCTCCCCTGTGAGTTCTTTCATGTATATGAACTCCTTATAGTAAATAGCTTCCTACACTGCTTGCACATGAGGTTTCTCTCTTGTGTTATTTCTTTCAAGTATAAGAATTCTATGCAGTGATTGTCATTCCAAATTTCTTGCACACATTAAGTTTTCTACCCTGCATGACTTTATTCACATATTGTATGACATTTTATAGTGAATGCTCTTCCACATTGCTTGTACACAGTTCTTACACTGAGTTCTTTTATGTCTTTGACATAAGTTTGTACCGAATGCCTCACCACATTGCTTACACACCTACATTTTCTCATCAGTATGAGTTCTTTCATGTACTTGACAAGACTGGAGTGTAGCAAATGCCTTTCCACATTGCTTGCACACATAAAGTTTTTCCCCACTATGAGTTCTTTCATGTATTTGACAAGATCGATGTGTAGTAAATGCCTTTCCACATTCCTTGCACACAAAAGGTTTCTCCCCAGTGTGGATTTTTTCATGTATTTGACAAGATTGGTGTGTAGTGAATGCCTTCCCACATTGCTTGCAGACATAAGGTTTCTCCCCAGTGTGAAAATTTTCATGTAGTTTATAATAACCCTTTGTAGTGAATGCCTTCCCACATTGCTTGCAAACGTAAGGTTTCTCACCAGTGTGTGTTCTTTCATGTACTTGACGAGATCGGTGTGTAGTGAATGCCTTCCCACATTCCTTGCAAACATAAGGTTTCTCCCCAGTGTGAGTTCTTTCATGTACTTGACAAGATTGGTGTTTAGTGAATGCCTTCCCACACTGCTTGCACACATAAGGTTTCTCCCCAGTGTGAAAGTTTTCATGTAGTTTATAATAATCTTTTGTAGTGAATGCCTTCCCACATTGCTTACATACATAAGGTTTCTCACCAGTGTGAGTTCTTTCATGTCTTTTATAAGTACTCCTCATGGTAAATGCTCTTCCGCATTGCTTGCAAACATAAGGTTTTTCCCCAGTATGAATTCTTTCATGTATTTGACACTCTTTGTGTGTAGTAAATGCCTTCCCACACTGGTTGCACACATGAGGTTTCACCCCTGTGTGAGTTTTTTCATGCATTTGACAAGATCCATATGTAGCAAATGCCTTCCCACATTGCTTGCAGACATAAGGTTTCTCCCCAGTGTGAATTCTTTCGTGTATATTAGAATAAGTCTTTGTACTGAATGCTTTCCCGCATTGCTTACACACATAAGGTTTCTCCCCAGTGTGAGTTCTTTCATGTCGTTGACAAGATTGGAGTGTAGTGAATGCCTTCCTACAGTACTTGCACACATAAGGGCTCTCCCCACTGTGGATTTTTTCATGTATATTAGAGTAAGTCTTTGTACTGAATGCTTTTCCACATTGCTTGCACACATAAGGTTTCTCTCCAGTGTGAGTTATTTTATGTCTTTGACAGGACTGGAGTGTAGTAAATGCCTTCCCACAGTGCTTGCACACATAAGGGTTCTCCCCAGTGTGAATTTTTTCATGTATGTTAGAATAAGTCTTTGTACTGAATGTCTTTCCACATTGCTTGCACACATAAGGTTTCTTTGAACTTTGATTTCTTTCCAATATTTCACAATAAATATGTCTGTTGAAAGCTTTCCTACATTGATTATATGCATAAGGTTTCTCCCCATTGTGATTACTTTCATGGCTTTGACATTGACTGTAGGTACTACATGATTTCCCACATTGCATACATATATAGGGTTTCACCCCAGTGCAAATTCTTTCAGATCTTTGGCAGCAACTGTGTGATTGGAATGCACTTCCACTTTGCTTACATACGTAGGATTTCTCCTCCATATGAATCCTTTCAAGAATTTTACAACTTTGAGAATTGAAAGTATTTTCATATTGCTTGCATACATATGGTTCTGTCCCCATGAGAATTCCTTCATGCATTTGAAAACCACTAAGGGTGCTGGAGGCTTTGACACTTTTCTCACCAGCAATAGTCTTCTCTCCAGAGTGAGTATTTTCACTAAATTCAGAATAGGATTTCTCACATTGTTCATATTGATTGGGTTTCTCTCCAGTCTCTGTCCTTTCATGCTTCTGAAAGGACTGGAAATCACTGCAAGTTTTTCCATGTTCATTACATTTATTCAGCTTGTCATCAACTCCAAAATACTCATGTGGTTTCTCCCCAGTGTGATGTAAAATGGGCACATTTATTGATAAATGCCCAACCAGAGGCTCTCTACAAACAAGACTTCTAGCTGGCATTGAAGTAGCATGTCGATTGTTCACAGTAGTATCTGGAGTCCAATTGAATATGTTTTCATACTGATCACAAGTTGTATATTGATGGTATTTTAATGCTTCTACATTTCTGAAAGAGAAACAAAATATCAATCAGAATAAAAGGTCTGCTTATCAATAATTTATCAAGAAAATTTCTGGCTTGATGCCTGATAAATTTTCAGAATGAACATGCTGAATGACCTGGAGGATGCCTCTAAAACCCCCATTTCCCAGAATCATATTCATTTGGGAAATTTAAATTGGTACATGTCTAATATAAAAATGTAAGATTCATTTAAGTCACTGATACATATGTTTATCACATATTGATTATTTTGACCTTTTCCCCTTCAATCTCCCCTTCTATCACTATTTAATTTTACTCTCTACTTCATATTTTAGTAGCTCATATAAAAGAAAATGTGATAATTCACATTATGTTTCACTTATTTCTTTTATCATTATGAGGTAAAGCCTCATCATTTTTTTTTACCAGAAGTTATGATATTCTTGTTCTTGTTTGGCTGAATACACAGAGCACATTTATTTTCAATGCTGAGAATTAAACAAGGGTTTAAACAAACAAACAAAAAAAATTTCTAGTTTTTTAACTTATTGTGAAAGAGATTCTCACTGATCATTCATTTTGTCAGAGCAGACTTCATATTGTCAACCTGTTTGCTCAGCTTTCCAGAGTGCTGAGATTATTAGAAGGCTCTACCATGTTGAGTCTATCCCACATTCTCTTTTTCCATGCATACAAGGATTGACATCTAGGCTATTATCAGAGCTTAGGTACTGTACATTATTTCCACAACTTAGCTATTGTGAATACCCATGAGTACCCTGCTTGGAGCTGAAGTACACATGTATCATTGCCTGGATCAAATGGAAACATTTAATTTTATTTTGTGAGACATCTGTATGTGGAATATAAAAAATGGTTCTGTTTTATATTACTACCAATGATATATGAGGGTACATTCTAAAAATTATGAAACATGAATGAACACAATTCTCTAGAGGAAGTTTACAAACATCTATTAACACTGGCATTCATGTGCATTTTGAATGTTGCTTCCAGGTTAGCAATTTTTTTGGATAATGTCTATCTCATATTCATTTTTTGTTTATTTATTTATTTATTTTTGTTTTTCTTCTGGTGCCAGGAATCAAACTCACAACCTCACACTTGCCAGGCAGGCACTGGGCCGCTAAGCTAAATCCCCAGCCCCTATCTCATATTCATATATATACATAAACAGAAACTTGAAGACAAGTTTCTGGCAAAGTTCAAGATTTATTCTTTTCATACATGCGTATATACAATATCTACATTCAACTTCATACATTTTAATCATGTTGATAATGAAAATTTTTTCCAATGTATGAGATAGTGTCTCTTGTTGCATAATGTCACTACACTGGAATATTTCTCTATTCTATTGTCAGATTACACAAAATCAACCTGTATGTACATCAGGAAAATTTTTGAGATTAAATAAATTTGAACATGGGCTGATTTGAAAGGTTTCCTTGTAACATTTCTGCTCACACATCAGCTCTTCAGAAATATTGCATTTCATGATGAATGCAAATTACCTTAGATTTCCTGGGCAATTTCTGTATTCTTCTTCCATTTGCTGGTTGTCCCAAGTCCTTCCTAAATTATACCCATAGAAATACAAAATGTCACCATGTAATTATAGTAATTTAGTCATTAGCAGTTACACTCATGGTATAATAAAAACAGGCCTGAGGTATTCTTCATGTTTTCACATTTTATTTAATAAATCTGTATCCATCAGCAACAACCAAGGCTCTCTCATGGTATATATGAGAAAATGAGGTTATCCTTACCTATAGCCTTTATATTCCTAAATGTTTCCCAAGTCACATCTCTGTAGAGCTTCTTTTGGGATGGATTCAGCAGAGCCCACTCCTCCTTGCTGAAGTTCACAGTTACATCCTCCAGGGTCACTGCCTCCTAAATAATCACATGTACATTTCCTGACAGGAGGTTGACACTCATACCCTGAAAATTGGAATTCCTCAAAAAACTGAATTGAGGTTGTTCCTTCAAATATAAACTCCATGACTTTGTCACAAAACCGATCTGTTTGCACATAGTTTCATAAGCAATTCTGATGCTAGATTGCTTCTCTTTGCTACAGCAAAGGCAGAATAGTAAAACTGTTTGACAAGTAGCATCATTTAAATTATATTTGTGCACTGTTTCTAAAGCAGAGCTCATAGAGGCACCTGCAAATCACCACTCCCAAAAACAGAGGCAGAAAAATATCTAATGCAGGGTTAAGACAGATCATAGATTATACCTCTTTGCAAATCTGATTATTCATAGAAAAGTCATTCTTTCTTGTATTGAACATAGGCAGCATTTTGAAATGTAAATTTTTTAGAAAAAAATTAATTGAACATTAAATAAAATATATGCATTTTGTTCCTTATTTTCACTTTTGATTTTTCACACCAGAGAAAGTATGTGATATTTACACATGTCCAATTTATTTCACTTGAGCATGTGATTTTTTTTTTTTTCCCAGTACCGGGAACTGAACTCACAACCTTGCACTTGCCAGGCAGGCATTGTGCCGCTGAGCTAAATCCTCAGGCTCCGAGCATGTGATCTTAAGGTCCACCCATTTAGCTAGTAGTGTTGCAAGCTTATCCTTTTTTATGACAGAATAATACTCCATTGTATTAAAAAAAAAACACATCTTCTTAATCAGTTCACCAGTTGATGGAGATTATGGCCATTTTCAAGATTTATCTGTTACAAACATTGCCAGTAGAATCATGGAACTGTATAAATGACTGCAGTATGATGCTTTTAATTCTTTTGGGGAGAGACCATGAAAGGGTTAAATAGATCATCTGATATTGGTTTTTTGAGGAATCTGACGAAGAAAATGTTTAAATGAGTAGGAAAATAATGGAGGGGTGGGGGGAAGGAGAGAAGGAACAAAAAAGAAAGGACAAAAAGAAACAGTTTTATAAATAAAGAGGGGGAAAGGGCCTAAGGGGAAAGAAGGAAAGTGGAAGAAAAAGAAGCAAGATATACAATTTACAGGTACAAATTCCCAAAACAATATTATCACTATGTGTACCTAAAATGTAGCAATAAAAAAAGAAATAAGGTTTATGAATAATATTAAAATGGTAATGGAAAAACAGTGTTCTTGGAACAAGTTCATGGACAATAAAAATAGGAGCCCGTTGTCATATTATCTTATACCTCAGTGACATTAAATGATCAACTTGTACTCAGATATAATAAATCCTAGGATTGTCTGAATGAAATTAATGACGGGAAGGATATGTATAAAATACATTAAACATATTAAAAAGGAAGATATCACAACGTGATTAGGCACTAATCACAAATGGAAAACTTCAGCCAGGTGTGATAGTAACTGCCTGTAATTCCAGCAATTTGGAGGCTGATGTAGGAGGATTTCCATGAGTCTGAAGTTTACCAGAAGTTCAAAATCCAGCCCCAGCTATGAGGTAAATTCAAGGCCAGTAAAGATTTCAAAGTGAATACCTGTATCACACTCCTTCCACAAAAGGAAAACTTAAATATTATGTCACTTAAAAGTCACTCCTTTGCTCTATTGAGAAACTTAGACCTATGCAGAATAACAGAAGACTGACAACATTCAACACCTCAAGAGCAAGGTGATACCTTGCATACTTTACATAAAACACATTCATGTTACACCTTTTGTTACACTCTGCATTTAGTAGAGAGAATGACAAATGGACCTCAGGAAAGAAAGGCAACCTTCTATGGTTTCACATGTAAATAGAATAGTTATTCCTGATGCAGCTTGTGTTAAGACATATCTGAAAGTAATCACAATATGTTTTATTTATGTTCAGGGAGAAACAGGTACGTATTTGGAAACCTAGGTTCTATACTCTTCTATTTTATCTACATAAATTACATACTGAAAAGGGAACAATAAACTTAATACCTTAGGTTTTACAGTGAAGTAAATTTTAGACACCAAAAAAGTGTCCTCAGAAGAAACAAGTAGCCCTCAGAATTTGAAGGAGCAATTGAAGTCTATGAAAAACATGGGAAATATATACAACTAGACTAAAATATCTGCTGTGTACACAAAGATTTTGTATAGAGAGTAAAGATCAATAAACAGAAATCTCCAAAATATATAAAATACATCTGACTCAAGAGAAACACTGATTAAAAAACAAGACCTAGTCTTGAGATAAAAAAATTGAAGGATAAAAGAACACAGTAATATTTGTGCAAGGAAGGAGAGCCAACTGATACAAGCTATACTCATCTGATTTCCTTTCAAGATTGTCAAAATTAACAGACAAGTGACTTCATTCCATCATCCAGAGAATGTACAGTGCTATTATTCCTGTAGATAGATGTCATTATTGTTAAGTAAACTTGAAAAATCTTGAACCTCACAACCAATAGAATTGATGAGAAACTACTTTTCCCTTGATTCAGTTATCAACATTTGTATAATGAGACAAAAAAAGTCCCAAAATATTCCCTGTGCAACTTCTAAAATACTTCTTGAAAATTACATGGAAAAAAACTAAAACAACACTATTCATTGAAAATTACAAATGGTAAACTGAGGAAAAGTTGCCAGTGGTCAAAAATAAGGGAAGAAAAGTTTAATGCAGGTGGGGAGTTTGTCACATGTATACTCTCAACCACTACCCAGTGCCCAATGTTGAAATGTTTTGAATATATCAATGATATTTATATTCTTATTGCCATTAGATATCACCTAAAATATTTCCAAATAAATTTGATTTAAAATATTTAAATAGCAAATTATCAATAACAATGTTCATATTCACTTACTTATGTTTATTTGCCTTATATATATATGAGCAATTATAAAAATGTTGAATTTTTTTATCATCTGCATACCAGTATTTTTTTTATTGTAGCAAAAATAGTTCATTATCACTTGCAGAAAAATTCAATAGTAACATTTTAAAACACATGATATATAATAAATAACAGAAAACAATTTGAAATAACTAAAGTCCAGAGGCAGTGGAGTAAGGGAGTGAATTTTCTGAAATGTGAACTTCCTAACAACACTATGTCCACTAGCATGTCCAACAAAAACTTTACATAATCTTTTTATCATCACACTAATGAAATATTAAGCTCTATTAATTCATTCCTATTTGAAATGTTGAAAACAAGTAAGTTTTTATTTGATGAGATTTTCAAGGGCTAAAGAGCTTAGAAAACCCTATCCTATAGCCACATTATTGGTAGTTATATGAACTCAGGGAAACAGAGAGGAGTAAACACAGCTGACTTCCTCGCCTCCATCATAATTCTGTGGATCTTTACATGTTTATGATAAATGCAAAACAAATAACTGCCTCTAAATGTTTTTGTTTCTTTACATATGATCAATATTACATTTACTTTTAATCTAAGAAAACCACAACCTTATGGTGAAATCTTGAAAAGCAATTCTTACTTCTTTTATAAAACTTGTATTTTAAATAAGCAACTTGCTGCAAAATAAAAGCAAAAGGAAAGGTGGTTAGGGAAGAACCTTCCTTCAGTGCCATTCACAAAGAATCCCACACTCAGAAAGTTAAACATCTTCCCAAGGTTATATAAAATTCCCAATGCCTATGCAGTTCAGGGTCGCTCAGTCAAGATGGTGACACTGAGAAATATGAAAAGTCAGAAAATTTAAATTTGGGGACTCACACATATAAACATCATATTATCTCCCAGGTGTGAGAAAATGAAAGAGTAAATAAGGTCTAAAATGTACAATAGACATTGTGAAATGTGAAGTTATTTATTTATTTTTTTTTTTTTTTGGTTTTGGTCCGGTACCGGGAACCGAACTCACGACCTTGCGCTTGCTAGGCAGGCGCTTTGCCGCTGAGCTAAATCCCCAGCCCCTGTGAAGTTATTTAAAAAGAAAAAGGAATTAGAGTAGGGGAAAGGGGAAAGGAAGGAAGGGGAGAACAATGTAGGTTAACTAAGTGTCTCAGTCCATTGAAAAGGAAGGTTTATGGTGACCTCGACTGGAGAATTTTTTATGCCCATATCTTATACGTTGTGTAACTACTTTGAAGATGACAATATGCAATGTATCAACTATTGTTATTCTATTATTCTGTTATGAAATTCTGTTGTACTTTTTTTTCAGTAAAATAAAAACAAACTAATAAAACTAATCTTATGGTGAAATTTTGAAAAACAATTCTTACACCCTTGAGGTAACTTGTATTTTAAACAAGCAACTTACTGCAAAGAAAAAGCAAAAGGAAAGCTGGTTAGGGAAGAGCCCTCCTTCACTGCCATTCACAAGGGAACCCATACTCAGAAGGTTAAACATATTCCCAAAGTCAAACAAAATTCTCAGTGTCTACGTAGTCCAGGATAGCTCAGTCAGGATGGTGACTCTGGGAAATACGAAGTCAGGAAATTTAACCCTGGGGCTTCTTCACGTCAGGTAGACATCTTTACAGGATGAAACTGTTCTCTGGCCCAAGGTCTCCACACTGAGCAAACACCCACAGTCAGCTGAAGTTTGACTTTTGACTTTTCCTAATATTTCTTTTGAATTCAAGCATGTAATGTTTACTGAGTACTAACAAATTATACAACAAAAACTGGTGTTCCCCAAATCACTGCACCACCCAAAATGACCAAAATATTGAGAAATTCAGAGCACTCCTAGTACACTGTTTCAACTGAAGATTGCTGTCCATAGCATGTGATATTTTTCATTATAAATCATCATTCTGAAGTTTTAAAAATATGGGACACTGAGTCACACCATTAATAGAAATGTATATATTGCCTCAAAATGGCTTAAAATAAAAACAGGACATTCCTATGGTGCAGAAAATGATGATAGTCAAATATTTTCTCCTCCAGAACCTAGGAAACATTTCACTGAAAAAACTGTATTACACAGAGAAATAATC